TAACCCAGACCCAGAAAGACAATTATCACATGTACTCACGCATAAGTGGTTTTTAAACATAAAGCAAAGAAAACCAGCCTATAAATCACAATCCCGGAGAACCTAGACAACAATGAGGACACTAAGAGAGACATACATGGATCTAATCTACGTGGGAAATAGAAAAAGACAAGATCTCCTGAGTAAACTGGGAGTATGAGGATATGGGGGAAGGGCTGAAAGGGAAGGGAGAGGCAGGGAGGGAAACAGAGAAAAATGTAGAGGTCAATAAATAGATTTGTTAGTTAATATCAGCTTACATTAGACTTAAATATGCCTTAATTTTATCACTATTTCTAAGGTTTTTTTTTTTACCAGAAATGTTAATCCAGATGAGAATGAATATGCACATAAAGCTTTACAATAAATATTCAATACGTTATTTGTCCCAGTCAGTTTACGGACATGAAGATTTTCTTTGTGTACACAGTATATTCATGCTATAAGCATTCTGTCCCTGAACTGTTATTTCTCTAGTGATTACAGACCTGTGCCCCTAAGGTCTCAGTTACCTTTTACGGAGCTCTACTATAGCTAATACCCCTAGGGGAAATCTTTGGCACAATTGTTTATCTTTCTTGTTACTACACTCCCAACCCTATTTATTGACATATTCCAGCACAGGATCAGGCACATTATTAAATCTTTTTTTTTTTTTTTTAATTTTCAAGACAGGGTTTCTCCGTAGCTTTTGGTGCCTGTCCTGGAACTAGCTCTTGTAGACCAGGCTGGCCTCGAAATCACAGAGATCCGCCTGCCTCTGCCTCCCGAGTGCTGGGATTAAAGGCGTGCGTCACCACCGCCCGGCTTAAATCTTGTCCATACAACATTAACAGTAAAAATCCCAAATAATTTGATTTAAAAATGGATAAGATATTTGAACAGATATTTCTGAAGACACATGGCCAGTAAGTATATGAAGAAATGAGCAACACTCCAATCATCAGGGAAATGCAAGGGCTGGCGAAATGGTTTAACAGGTAAAAGTGCTTGTAATGCAAGCCCACTGACCTGATTTTGATCCAAAACCTGTAGAACCCATGTAATGTAGTGGTATACACCTGTAATCCCAGAACTCCTTTGGAGAAATAGAGACAGGAGTATGCAGGGCAGCAGAATCAAGAGAGACTCTGCTTCATCAAGGTATGAGAGAATCAACTCCCAAATGCTATCTTCTGATCACATGCACTGTGGTACACACACATCTATAGATACACAGACACACTCATACAAATGCATGTGTAAGTGTGCATGCGCATACACCCACACACACCACGTAAATCCATGATGATGAGCTGTAAAACAAAGGGGATTCTACTGTTGATGGGAATATAGACTGATACAGACACTTAAAAGTGTGTACACATTTGATAAACAGCTATGACTTGTAAAGCTCTGACTTAAACTATAATACATTATATAAGGAAAACCACAAATGTAAGCAAGTAAGCACTCTGCATTCAGGAAGCATTGTTATAAGTTACTCTAGTTGATGCTTAGTTCCATGTATGCTGCTTTGGAATTATTTTGTTTGGTGACAATTCTCAAACTTCTCGGTCTGAGGATACTCAAGACACTAAAGTACTATTTAATTATGCTAATGTATTTAAAATAACAACTATCTATACTCATAATTATATCTACATAGTGATATTTTTCAAAACAAAATGACATGTTTATAGTTAGGTGGTGATGGTGCACGCTTTTACTCCCAGTACTCAAGAGGCAGAGGCAGGTGGATCTCTTTGAGTTTGAGGCTAGCCTGGTCTACACAGTGAGTTCCAGGACAGGCTTCAAAGCTACACAAAGAAACCCTGTCTTGAAAGTCTGACTGACTGACCAACCGACCAAACAGCCAGCCAAATAAATAAATAAAAGCAAACAAACAAATATTTTTAAAAATGACATGTTTGTGAGGACAGCATTAAATGTATTTCAAATATCTTTAATGTCTGGTTTGTATAACTAATTTAACTACTTCTTTGTCCAACTTATTGAGATAAGTTGTTTTGATTGTGGTACATGAAGAAAATTAAAAGATGTTCACAAATATGCGTTTGTTAAGTTTCATTTTGTGGTGCTGGAGGTTAAACCCAGGGTCCTGTGCATGATAAAGCAAATGATTTATTACTGAGTTATATCCCTGGACCACACAGAGATATATCCAATGGAGAATCGAAGAGAACTTTCCCCCTTCAAATAATTCTGAATATCCTCCCTTGGCATTACATCAGGTAAGTGTTTTCAGTGTTGGAAATGACTGGTAAAAAAAAATAAAGAAAGAATTAATTATTAAGACATAAGATTTCTTTTGAGGGTGAAGGAAATATTATATAATTTGACTGTGGCTGCATGTATTTTTTTATTTTATTTTTAAAGACAGGATCTCACTATGTATGCAGTTCTAGTTGTTCTGGAACTCACAGAGATTCACCTGCCTCTGCTCCCTGAGTGCTGAAATTAAAGGTGTGTACAACCATGCCCAGTTTAGTAACTACTTCTATTAATTTCAAAATAAAACTCCCTAACAAATAAAGAAAGAAAATTAATGTGACTAGAAGTGAGAAAGGTCAAGAAGGTGAAATTGGGCTAATTCCATAGGCAGGGCTTTTAAGTCAGGTTCAAAACTGTGGGGTGTGGGGGCTGGAGACATGGCTCACTGGTTAAAAGAAGATCTGCTCTTACAACAGATCTGAGTTTAGTCCTCAGTACCCATGCATGCCACTCACAACTGCCTGAATCTCCAGTTCCAGGGGATTTGATGGCCCTTGACCTCATCATGTACCTGCAACATAACACACAAAAACTCACACAGGCATTCATACATACAACCAGACAAAAAGCAAACACATCTTAAAAGAAATAAACTGTGAATTTTTTTCTAAGAGCACGGAGAAAGCATGAACTATTTTTAGAGAAGAAACTATCTGAAACTAAAGATAAACTAAACACCATCTTTTACCCCCCACGGGCACTGCCCTATGTAGAGCACAGATATATATGTAGGCAAAACACCTATACACATAAAAAAAACCTTTTCATACTCTATTATATTAAAATTAACTTTGAATGAATATTTAATGACTTAAAATGAAATATTATTTAAAATAAACACCCCCTTCACTGTTGCTTGTTAAGATGAAGTAATGTGCAAAAATACTTGGCTCACTGAATACTATTAGCTCTTAGAGTGAATGATTTTATAATAGCTAATGATTTCAGTGTATATCACTAACTTCATTTTTAACAATTTAATAGTAACCAACCTTTATACATTTTGTTTATAATTACTTTTCTAATTAGCAATTTTCAGATTTTCCTTTTCCGTTTAGATCTTTGTAATACTAGACACAAAATGGATTCATAATCATATGCTGCCGACACACGAATTTACCTGGTTTTACATATAAATAAGTTAAAAAAAACATATGCTCCTCTCATCTTAATCACTCATCTTTAAGGCTTTTCCTTTAAGTGAGTCTGAATATGTTCATTTTGATTCTCCCCCCGCCCCAGTTTCTGAAATACCACCCAATCTTAATAACTAAGTCAGTATTTTCTCTTTTTTTGAGCCACGGTCTCTTTACTCTGCAGCCCTGGCTGGCCTGGAACTCACTATAGATTAGGTTGCCCTTGAACTCACAGAGATCTACTTGTCTCTGCCTGCAAAGCACTAGGTTAAAGCTGAGCATCACCATGCCCAACACATCAGTCTTTTCTGGATACCCAAGTAGGATTCCTTTTCTGCACTGGTTACACAGCACCAAATACCCTATTTTATCAGATAGCTTCTTTCCTTACCTAGACTGTAGTCCTTCTGAGGGTAAAAAACATTACTATTTCTCTACCCCTTCAGTAATTATTATCACAATGCCTGGCTAATATCCTTATATGATCTCTACTAGGAATGTATCAGTGAGGCACTGATTGGCCTCCATATCAAAACAAAGGTGTAATAAACTACGAGATGTGGTGGCATGCAGCTGTAATCCCAGCATTATGAAGGTGGAGACAGAAGGATCATAAGTTTGAAGTTAGTCTAGGCTATAAAAACAGAGACATTAACTATGGCAGCTGGTTTAATCTGCTTTATACACCCAAGTTCACTCTAGCTCTCCATATATGATGTGTGTGTGCTTGTTTCCTTTCTAGACCAAGTTGTATGTATAAGGCTTACTCAAATGACAAGAAATGTAGCCAATATTATAATTTGAGAAACAATTACTTTCTGTATAAGAACCATGTTTCTTAGGGCTGGATACATCTCAGTGGAGCAATAGTTACTTTTCAGAGGACCTGAGTGCATTTCCCAGCACCAACAAAGGGCAGCTCGTAACAACAGCTCCAGGGAGATCCAATGCACTCATCTGTTGTGGAAGTCAGAGGACAATTTGGAGGAGTAACTTCTTTCCTACTATCATGTTGATTCTGGGGATAGAACTTGGTGACAAATGCCTGTACTCACTGAGTCATGTTGCCAGCCATCATCCAAACCTTTTAAATAAGGACCTCAGTTTAGAATTATTTTGTTAAATAAAGTTAACTGCTTAATAAGTAGATTATTCAATTTCCCTAACAATGGAAATCTATTTAAACAATACCATCTGACAGTTTTGCTAAGCATGTTTATATTACAAGGTACAATATCAACAAATATCAAGACTCTATTTTTGTATAAGAAATAACTTATAAAGCCAGAACCTTACTCAAACAAAAAATACTCAAGACATAAGTTACTTTTGGCATAATGAACATTTATTAACACCACTGTAATATTTAAGAATATTTGGTAGCATAATCTTTAAAAAAAACTTTAACTACCTATCCAAGTATCATTATTTTAAATTCTGGAGTTCCCTTAAATGGAAGATACACAATCCTATCAATCACAAAAAGCATGAGTTTTTTTTATGTCACTGCCTTTACTAAAAACTTACAATGCCTTGTGTTCCCAAGCTTACCTTTTCATTTTTCTTGTCTGTCTCTGGTGGCTGCTTTGCTGTTATACTTCGAGGAGTTCTAACAACTTCATCCTCAGGTACTTCAACGGTCCGTCCATTTGACTGAAAGGTTACAAGAAAACATCACATCATCAAACTGGCTGGCTGGCTAAACCAAAGACAAAAACACGCACAACAATCAAATTCTTCCCCAACCTAAATTAACAAGGCTGCTTTTGCATGAGTATTTTGCCTTGCATGTTAATCATATGTGTGTCGGGTCCCTATGGAGGTCAGATTATGAACCACTTTGTGTGTGCTAGGAATTGAACCTGGGTCCACTCCAAGAATAGCCAGCGTTCTTAACTGTTGAGTCAACTCTCCAGCCCCTCTATAAGGAACTCGTAACAAAATTCTGCACCATAAGTTTTCTGATCACTCACAGATATTATATTAGTTCCTCTAATAAAAGCAACGAAACAGAGGTAGTGTTTCTACCTACGGGTAGTGTTGCCTATGGGACTCTGAAACGTATTTACACTGTGATCACCATTAGCTGGATAATCTCACCACCTCTGGATGTTGTACCTTAAGATGAGTTTGGCTCTATTTGGCTCTATTCAAGAGTCAGTAAACTATTTTCAAAACTTTTTCTTTCTCTCTTTTTTTAAAAATTATGTGAATGTATGTGAATGTGGATGTGAGCGTGGGGGCCAGAGGATGTCAGATCTTCTGAAGGTTGGAGGTTACAACCTACTCTATGTCGAGGCTGGTAAACAAATTCAGGTCCTCTGCAAGAGTGGTTGGTACATGATTAACCAGTGATCTGCTTGTCCATCCCTTCAGCAATTTTTTTTGCTGTATCAGGCCAGAGAGGAAACATTTTAGGACTTATGGGCCATATAGTCTCTACTGAAATCTTCTGTAGCAGCAAAAAAGCAGCCAAAGATGATATACACATCAATATATGTCAGAGGATGCTAATGTTGCTTTTAATCCTACAACCCACAGCCATAATCACAAACAAGCAGAACAGTTACTTCAGCTTTCCTAACATTTCTAAAATGAGAGACCAAACTTTAGGTGTTTGTGGGCAGAATCAGTCTGTGATCCTCAAGTCCACTTTGTAATCAGGATTGTTCCTATTACTGTCTCCCCTTTTAAACAATTCTGAGCCCCATTAACAGAAATGCATAGACTGAGGAATTTTGATAAAACTGGGCCCGTGTTATCCATCTATCCTTCTTTCTGAATCCTACCACTTCTCATTTATCCATTCTTCTTATAATCGACACATTAATTAAAGTCAGTAAATTAATGTTCTAGTTTCAAAACCTTTGTTTCTAATATTTGCAGAATAGACCTCTATCAAATTGTCCATTATGATACAGCTATGTACTGGGGAAAAAAAACCATGAATGTCGATACCCTCTGTATCTTTCTTTGGCTCTCCCCTCCCCCACCATTTGTTTAGTCCTATTCTGGTTTACTTAGATTTTGTTTTTAATTTTTTTTCCTTTTTTCTTTTTAAAAAGATGTCTGCCTATATTCTAATGAGAAAGAGGGAAAGAAAAAGTATGGATGTGGGTTGCTGGGGAAGTATGTGGGGGCTGGGAGGAGCTGGGAGGAAGAAACCAGATTATATGAAAAAAATCAATTTTAAAATTTAAAAGTGTCTATAAAGTGACTTTACATGCATTTAAAAAAAAATAAGCAGCAAGCTGGGCAGTGGTGACACATGCAGGTGATTCTGAGTTCGAGGCCAGCCAAGGTTACACAAGGTTTGATTTTGAAACATCAAAAATCAAGCAGGAGCTGGAGAGATGGCTCAGTAATTGAACATTTGCTCTCTTGCAAAGAACTGAGGTTTGGTTTTCATTACCCACATGGTGGCTTACAACTATAATTCCAATCTGATCTGATATGGTCTCCTGTCCTCATGGCCACCAGACAGACAGACACGCATACAAACAGTGGATTTGCACGAATGTGTGCAAAACACTCATACACATTAAATTAAAAATAAGTCTTTAAAAATATCAGGCAAATGAGGCTGGAAAGAGATCATTTACAATTTAAAACTCAATTTGTAAGTTTTCCAAAGATTTGTAGCAGGAAGTCAAAACAAAAGCTGTCTTCTTAGCTGAATAAATGTCTAATTAATCAACATTTAATATGCTGAATCTTAAGCAACCTGTTAAAAATAGGACAGTGAAAGCCAAAAGCAGATTTCCTCACTCTTGATCTGGTTTTCTTTCATCTGTGCTGTTTTGACCGTTCTTTGGTTAAGTGCATAGAAAGGTAAGAAACCTCAGAAGGCAAAGTAGATTTAGGGACTTCTACATCAGGTACTCAGAACTGGCTGGTTTTCCTTTCTGATCTGTCTTACTTGCTATTGTCATATGCTAGTTCTCTTAATTCTTGCTATTTGGTTTTGAGGTGAAATTTTGCTATGTTCTCGCCCATCTTTTGAGGTGTAGGGTTTCAAGGATGCACTACCAGTTTGATCTCCTTTTTCTTTTTTTGGTTTTCGAGACAGGGTTTCTCTGTGGCTTTGGAGCCTGTCCTGGAACTAGTTCTGTAGACCAGGCTGGTCTCGAACTCACAGAGATCTGCCTGCCTCTGCCTCCCGAGTGCTGGGATTAAAGGCGCGCGCCACCATCGCCTGGCTCCTTTTTCTTTCTTTTCTTCCTTCTTTCATTTTTTGAACGAAGTTTCTCTGTTTAACATCCTGGCTCTCCTGGAACTTACTCTGTAGAGCAGATTGGCCTCAAACTCTCAGAGATCTTCCTGCCTCTGCCTCTCAAGTGCTGGGATTAAAGAATTATTTTCTCTTTTAAGAACAAAGGTTTCAGCTGGGCATGGTAATGCATACCATTATTCCTAGTAAGTTCCAGGATAGCCAGAGGTACACAGAGACACCCTCCCCTCTTAAAAAACAAATAAACAAAAACCAAAAGCAACCAACCAAAACCAAACACCATCACCCAAAGAACAAGTGTTTCCTGGCTGGGGAGATGGTTCAGTCTGTGAGGTGGCTGTAGTGTAAGTATAAGGACCTGTGTTCAGGTCACCAGCATTTATATAAAAGCTAGGCATATGTGTCTATAATCCTACCACCATGGTGGCAGGGCTGACAGTTTGGTATATGGAACAGAGGGATCCATTCAGTCAATTCAAATGATGGGCTCCAGAATCAGTAAGAAACCTGCCTCCAAAAACAAACAATAAAAAACCCCAAACAATGGCCGGGCGATGGTGGCGCAGGCCTTTAATCCCAGATTAAACTTTACCTCAGGAGGCAGAGGCAGGCGGATCTCTGTGAGTTCGAGACCAGCCTGGTCTACGGAGCTAGTTCCAGGACAGGCTTCAAAGCCACAGAGAAACCCTGTCTCGAAAAAACCAAAAAAACCAAAAAAAAAAAAAAAAAAAAACAAAAAACAAAAAACAAACAAAAAAAACCCAAACAAACATTGAAGAAAAGAAGGAATTCAATGTTTACCACACATGTATACTTACATTTTTAACTCTCTCTCTCTCTCTCTCTCTCTCTCTCTCTCTCTCACACACACACACACAATGTAGTTTGAAGGCAAACAGTGAGACCAAGATTGAAACTACAAATTTGTGTCAACCTGAACAGGTTTCTACTTCTACTTCACTAGATTTTTAATTTTTACTTACGTTAAAGTTGTATGAAATGTTGAACAAATAATAAAAACCCAGAGACAAATACTGGGGTTTAAGCTGAAGATCAGAAAAGCAAAACAGCCAAGCCACTTGAGAAATTTTACCTTCATCAAGGCTGAGTGACTGACTACAGACTGAACCCCGAGCCTCTATTTCCTCCCATTTTATAATCCGTTCTAGTGCTCGGATTAAAGGTGTGAGCCATCACCATCACCTGGATCTGTTTCTGCACTGATCTTGTGTGGTCCAGGGTGGCCTTCAACATCTGCCTCTGTCTTACAAATCCTGGGATTAAAAGTATGTGATGCCACACTGCCTGGCCTCTAGTGGCTTAATTTTACCCTCTGATCTCTATTTATTAAAACATAAATAAAATATCACTATACTGGAACATGCACAAGTCTTAAATACACGGATGCACTAATAAAAGGCAAAGTATCATGAAAATTCAAAGGAGATATCATCTTTAGCAGAGGTTAGACTGCATGTATCCTTACAGTAATTAGTAATTTCTGAGTTCTGTACCTAGAACCTACCAGAGGTTTTACATACATGATTTGACACCGGGTAAGACTTTTGGTTGTAAAAAAATCTGATCCAAATTTCAGATAATTTCTTAGGAATTTAGAAAAAGACTTCTACTTCCCCAGCCTGATAAACACACACTGCAGTCTGAGACATAGTAATCCACCTATTTATTTTAAATTCTGATGTGGGATTCTCCTCTGTATGATGTGACTACCATTGGTGAATAAAGAAAATAGGGCAGAACTTAGGTAGGCAGGGAAAACTAAACTGAATACTGGGAGAAAGGAGGCAGAGTCAGAGAGAAGCCATGGAGCTGCCTCCGGAGACAGATATGCTGGAACCTTGCTGGTAGGTCACGAACCTCATGGTAAAATATAAAATAAAGGCAATGAGATAAATTAAGATGTAAAAGCTAGCCAATAAGAAGTTAGAGCGAATAGGCTAAGCAGTGATTTAATTAATACAGTTTCTGTGTGGTTATTTCGGGAGTCTAGGCAGACAGGATGAACAAGCAGCCTCCTACAACAAAATTCCAACTCTAATTTTAAAAACTCTTTACAACCAATTGAACAACTTCATAAATATAATCTATAATACAATTTGCAAATCTTGCCATCCAGTCTAAGCCATTTCAATTAGTGGTGAAGAAGATCCCAAAGTCCAACTCTTCAGGGATTCCAAACTACCTCCCGATGAACTGTATCAAGGGTGCTAAGGACAGATGGGAAGGTAATGCCTGTCACATAGTTAAATTATATGATGTATGATTTCTGAAAAATAAAATACAAGTACCATTTACAGTTTGACATCCAATGAGAACTGAGATAAGGAACACAGTTAACACAGCAGATATGTATGTCCATGTGCTTCCTCCTGCCTGGATCCTGATGATGCCTTCTAGAAGT